CTTCTTAAAATAATTAAAATATTGTAATTGTTGATATAAAGTGGCGGACTTTGATTATGACTCGGTAGACGTAAAGTAGTGTCTTAATATTAAAAAAAAACACTTTGGGACATCATAACATAAATAAAAATGGATATTAATAACCTTTTGATATCTCAAAAAACAAATAATTAAAAAAAAATTCATGATTTGTTAAAAAATATTTGATGTTGAATTTTTTAACAAATCTTATCGGAATTACAAAGTTGAAGCAATACATTGTTAATTAAAAACAAATTAATTTTTTTGCAGATTGTCTCCAGAAAAATGAAATACACAACTTTCGCACTCTTATTATTTTGCCTTTGCGGCTTAATAATTTGTTACCCTGTGGAAGAAGTTCAATCGAATGCTCGGCATCGAGATGTCAGAATGACCTGGGCTGGAAAGGGAATGCCCATGAACATTTTGTATTACAACTTAAGAAAACTAAGAAATCAACCGAACAATAAAAGAAAAATCGTACGAAGTACGGATAATTCCGAGACCTTTAATTCCGTTATCAAAAATATGCATCCATTTTTAAGAACTACCAATACTGGACTAAAAGTTCGCATTCATTAAATTATAAAGCATCATTTATTTATTTCATTTCACTGAAAAAAATCATTTCATATAAAAATGTAGTAGTATTTAAAAAACGATCATTAATTTTAGAATTAAATATACTTACTTACCAAAAATTAATTTATTAAAGAAAATAATTGTTGTAGAAATAGTTAAAAATAAAAGATTTAGATGTTTCAGGTTTTTGTAGCAGGAGTTTAATTAGATTGTTTAAAATTAACACAAAAATGAGTCGGTTTCATTTTTTGGCTTTTTAAATAAATATTTTTATTCTATGTACTTTTTTAAACAAAGAGTACTCTTATTAAAATGTGATTAATCGATATAGACCAATTTTTAATAGTTAATATAATGTGTGGAAACAAACTAGGTAAGTTAACTAATGTACAATAAACCAATTGTATCAAGTGTCCAATAACAATTTGAATAACAAAAGAAAAAAATAAAGAAATTGTTAAAAATGGAAACCATTTTGCTCCAGACATAATTCCAACCGAATGACTGATTGAGTAATAAGTTCATCTCTTGTGGGAGCTGGTGTCTCATACACCTTTCCTTTCAAATATATCCACACAAAAAGTCTAAAGGATTAAGATCTGCAGATCCATCTTGCAGGAAAATGGTTGTCTAGCCAATTTCTTATCGCCTTACAATGATGAGCTGGACAATCATCAAGTTGAAACCAAGACTTTCTTGGTCATCTCACATATTGACATTTTTTTGATATGTGTTTGAAAATGACAACAGTTTTTCCACATCTCAAGACAATAATCTGAAACTAATTGATATGAATATGACTGTTACTTTTCCTCTTGTGAGTAACACTTGGATTCCCTTGATGAAGTGACCGGCATCATACTGACGTTCCAACTAGCCTGATATCTTCTTTCCATGACCTTAATATCCTGTTTGAAACGTCCACCCTGCTCTTCACTGGTACTACTCAAGTTTTCAGGGAAAAAATCCAAATAAGAATGTAGAAAGTGAACTTTTATGCTCATCATTGTATACTAACTGAAATTTCTCATCAAATATTAGTTTACGTATGTCAGGACCCATAACAATTCCTTCTTGTAGTTTTGCCTCTGACAAATGTAGAAACTGTGTGGAGCGGTATTGAAAGCAGTCGCCAGTGTTGGGTAAAGCTTTGACGAATTGTCTCATGAGTCCTAACTTGATGTGAAAAGGGGGAAGATAAATTTTTCTGGGATCGACTAAAGCTTCGTGAAAAACGTTCTTTTCACCTGACCCCAATATTTATTAGGTTGGCCATACTGTTTTAGTCCAATATTCATTTCTTGCTTTGTTATCCTATTCTCAAATTAAACATGGGTACTCCCTGCTGACCAAGCATCATGCCCAAAACTTTCAGATCGCCACAAACTATCTAGTTATGATCTATATATTTAATTTTATTTAGCAACTCTTTCAAATTCTCGTAATTTTTTTTAAGGTGTACAGAATGTCCTATAGCCAGAGAAGCAGGGAAGCTTTGTATTCAATTCCAAACTTTTGAACCAAACCAGGAACATCACAACAATAGACCAACTCGCCTTCTTGTTTGAAATATTCAGTAAATTCATGATATCTAGATCTGTACTGATAAATGATGTACCTGCAGCCAGTAACTTCTTTTTTAGTCTAGAACCCAAGAGTTCAGCATTCTCCTTGGTAAGTCTCAAGTCTCTCATCAAATCATCAAGCTGATGCTGAGCAAAAAATTGTGGGATGGCATAATCTGAAGGATCTTGGAAATCACAGTCTTCCATCTTCATTGACATCAGATTCACTAGAGCTCATCTCACCTAGCGTTGCTGGAGACTGAGGTACAGACACATCTGGTCCATAAGCTACAGGTCGTACACTATATCTCTTTTATTAGAGTTATAGCCATTAAAATCATAGTGGCAAAAATAACAGCTATGACTTGTAAATTTTTGGTTCCCTCCACACCATCGGAATGCCAATTTGAATGATTTTTTTTACCCTTCCTGCGATTTACTACATAAATATAACACACTTTGTGAGGTGCCCATGATTTGTTTTGGTCACCAAGTCTCACACCGAAATAGGAGTAATACACTTTCCTAACAAAGTCTGTAATGTTTCTCTGGTGTTTTTTAATGACAAATTCACCACAAATGTAAGAAAAATTGTAAGGACAATTACGACAACCACGGCTAGAAGACATGTTGACACGAGCGGAAACAACACACAAATAAGCGCGTAAAAGTGTGTTTGTGATAAGGCACTTAAACCCCTTTTTCTGGAAACAGGCTTAGAAGACCTGCCCCCAGTAATAATATTCCTATATATAGCCTTAGCTACACACACTATAGAGGAAAGTAAAGGTGGTCTTCATATCTAAAGGTGGTAGGCGTTCAAACGCCGACGCCAAGGCATACAGACCAATTAGCCTAACTTCATTTCTCCTCAAAAGGATGGAAAAGGTAATCGATCAATACCTTAGGAATGGAGATGCTTGTCACTAATCCACTCCACCCTAGCCAACATGATTACCAGAAAGCAAAATTAACAATTATTAAGGTTTATATATAAGAGGTTGTCTAGATTCGTACGCAACCATACTGCGCATTACGTCCCATGTGGAAAATAATACTGCTAAGCACATGGCCATGAGGTTGCGTGCGCAATCCGTGATGGCTTACGTCACGAAACACTCCTGCTCTTGCCCCTCGCCCACAAACTCAAACAAAGTATTGCAGCATAGGTACTTAGACAACCTTTAATATATAAACCTTGAACAATTACTGCTCTCCATGCTTCGATTAGCACTTTAGAGGAGGCAATTGCAACCAAAGAGATAGCCCTATCTGCTTTCATAGACATGCTTTTGATTACACCTCCTATGAATCCATAGAGAAGGCTCTAAACATAAAAGATATACATCCATCGACAATCAAATGGTGAAGCCATGTTGAAAAGTCGGCAGATCACAGCCAGTCTGGGAGGCGAGTCGTTGACATAAAGGCGCTAAAAGGATGTCTCCAAGGGGGAGTGCTATTACCTCTATTATGGTGCCTGGTAGTAGATGACTTGATGAACACCCTAACAAAAAACGGATTCAAGATCCAGGAGTATGCTGATGACCCTACTCGGTCTCACACCGCTCCATTTATATATATAAAAGGAGGCAGCTTCAAGTGCCTTATCACTGAAAACAGTTTCTTCACTCACGTTGATGCAGGGCAACCTCAGAGGACATCTCGAAATCTTCAAGGACCCATGTCTAAATCACTTGATTGAAATTAAAACGGACCTTATACCGACAGAATACAATTTCAACTGGCTGTATAAAGTCATATTTAGAAGCAGGGATAATTAGGCTAAGGAAGGGCCTCAACTAAAAAGAGGTGCCCTAGCCTGGTACACCGATGCTTCAAAGACAGTTAGATCCGGAGTTGGTATGGGCATCAGTGGACCAAATAGCCGCATTAAACTGCCCCTCGGCTCGGACATAACAATTTTCCAAGCAGAAGTTCCTGCTATAAACTTCTGCACCGCTTTGAACCTACAGAAGGGACAGAAAGGTAAATATTTTCACCGACAGTCGGGCCGCCTTAAAGGCAATTCAGGCCTAGGTTTTAAGCCTCACCAAAGGGGATTTGAGGATGCTCTCAGGTCATCTGACCGGCTATGCGCCCCTAAAATAAGCTGAGGATCAAACTTGTCGACTTTGCAACGACGAGTCAGAAACTGCTGAACATAGACTGTGCAATTGCTTCGTCAGAGGCCGTCTAAGACATCAAATTTTCGGTAAAACTCTCTTGACACCTACCGACATAAAGGTTCAAGACCTCAGGGCAATACTAAAAAAATTGGTCTCCATGGAATAATAAAAAGCAAATTATCGTGAAAACGATCAATTTTAGCGCATTTTGATAAAAGACCCTTTTTGTTTAAAAAAGTACAAAGAATAATAATTTTTATTCAAAAAGCCAATAAAAGTTATGATTATTTTAATCTGTAAAGAATACGTTTCAGAGCGATAAAACGGACTCCATAATCGTCTTTCTCGTGCCATATACCAAATTTGAATAGAATTGATTGAAATACACGTTTAATATTAAAAAATTAATTTAAAAATTTAATTTGAACACTCTCTCACACTATCTTCAAAACAAAGCGTTTGTCGACCTACAGTGTGTTAATTAATTATTATACCCGATGTTATCATTGCAAGTATGCAACCAATATCGCAAGTTGCGTATTGGAATACGAATACTGTGATATTGGTTGCATACTTGCAATGATGACGTCGGGTATCATAATTAATTAATACACTGTATGTTTATATGAAGTTTTTGTGTTAATTTAGTCCTGCTACAAAAACCTGAAACACCTTTATATTTAATATTAAAACAAAATCTTACCATTCATTTCTTTCATAGCCTTTGTAAAATCGGTGGGATCTTTAAAACTAATAAATCCATACCCTTTACTTTTATTAGTACGTTTATCTCGAACAACCCTCGCCCTTAAAAACGACGGATATTTATTAAAAGTTCTCGTCAATAACTCATCGGTGACATCATTCCCAAGATCGCCACAAAATATCCGAAAATCATCCTCGACCCAATCCGATAACGAATGATCCTCCCAAACTTGTCCGCCGGCAGTTCGCATTAATTTTTTATTTTTCCCTCTACGTCGATAATCGTCTGGTCCAAAAGATTGTAAAGCGCTGCTTGCTTTTCCTTGGCTAATAGCTAACTCGGCGCTAACTTTTTCGTTTTTTAATTTCTTCAATTTCTTTTCAACCTCATTTTGTAACGAGATGAAATCAACTGAAGCGGGTTGTGGTGGTTGGGGGGCTACTTTTGGGGCGGTATACATTGCAGGTTTAGCAGAAACCACTGCAGGTTGAGTTATTACATTTTGAGAGAATGCCTCAAAACCAGATCGTTTTGACCGACTCACTTGGTGTGGAATTAATACAGGTGGCATTGGAGGAGGTGGAATATTACCAAATCCAGGTAAATTGTAATTATACGCTGGTACACACATCGTTCCTGATATTTCAGCTTCAAATCTAAATATGAATTAAAAAAATATTTAAAAATACCGTAACGAAAATTTGATAAATAAGATTTTACCTGCTCATTTCGTCTTCCATTTGTCGTGTTTTATCCATTTTTCCTACCTTTTGGTTAAGAATGTTAATATATAATTGAGAATCTGATCTGAAAAAAAAAATAATGTACTTAACCTCAAAAAAAATGTATTTTTAACAAAATTAAAAAATATTTTATAATATTAAAATCATTATTTTTTTTAAATAAAAACGTAAATTTACTTACACAAATGCTAATTAAATTGTTATAAACACAAATTTGTTAATCAATAAATTAATAAGAAACGTTACTTTGACGTTTGTGTGTTTACAACAACGCTAAACGGCGTTTTTATGAACTATTTCTAAAAATATTAATTTGTAAAATGTTTTTTATATAACATTTTAGCAACAAATTTCTCAAATTGAACTATTACTAAATTGAACCGAAAAATAACAATAAAAATAATTTGAATATTAAATAAAATAATTTATAATTACATCAACATCTACATTACCGACATTAATTTGACATATCACCTTGTTAACATAACCTAATTTAATTGATCAAAAATTGTCTCGTATTAAGAAAAATGACTTTATATCATTTTGGAAATTGCGTAGCTCTAATATACGTGCCATATTACCTCACCTACAAATACTCAGGCTTGTAAGTATAATAAATTAATTTTTTCTTTAAATTTGTTGAAAATGTGATTTTAGATCCGAATATGGAGCTTTTTGGAAATGTATTCAAGCAGGGTTCATTTATATGGCTACGCAGTTGGTTAAAATGTTGATTTTGGCAACTTTTTTCCCCGATAATGACGCTGATTTGGGTAGTGATACTTTGGGGGTAAAATTTTCTTTTTTGTTTAAAAGTGATTGTTAATTAAATTGATTTGTAGGAATTTTTAAAAACAACGGTTGATTTAATTGATTTGGGTGGATTATATGTTGTTTTAAACAGTATTCCTGGTAAAGGACATAGTAAAGTGTTGACTGCTGGAATTGGTTGGGCAACCGCGGAAGTTATCTTATCTCGAGCACTTTTATTATGGGTAGGAGCTCGAGGGGCTGAATTTGATTGGAAATACATTCAAAAATGTTTGGAATCAAATGTTTCTTTGGTTCATTACATTGCTACAGTTACTTTGGTGTGGATGTGGTCAAGACATGATTTAAAAAGCAATTTAAAACCAATCGTAACTGCTTTATTAATAGTTTCATCTTATAAAAACCTACTTTTGGATATGCTTTTTGAAGTGTTAATAACAGGTCCTTGGATTGCGTTATTTATTAAAGCTTTTGTTACTTCAGTTTTAAGTGGAATTACTTTGGTTATTTATACAGGTTTAGCTCAACATATTGGAATATTTTAAAACAAACTTTATTTTTATTTATGTTAAAATTAAATTAAACATTTGTGTTCCCAAAGCATTTTTTGTGTTAAATAAAACATATTTAACATTCCTATCAAACACTTTATTACAGTATATTGAATATAACAGATATACACTCTAAATCGGTTTACAGGAGATAATAAAACTAAAAACAAATCAATTATTTCGATTTCTCTGATTGAAATGACTTTAAATTTTAACGCAGACTTTAAATCTAAAAGGTAAATGTACAAAAAAAACACAATTTTTTCTTTAGGATGTGGTGCAATTGGGCGGAGCATCACCACCTGAATCTGAATTACTATCACTGCCCAAATTGTTTGAACTACTCGATGATATTATGTCTGAGCTTAAATCTATCCAGCCACGAAAACCAAGATCATACTGTAACAAAATAAGAATTAATTAAAAACTAACATACCGCGAAAAAAATTAAATTAATTAAGCTTAGTTATTCCTTAAATAGCCAGTTTTCTAGACGATCATTTTATTTAAATAAAATCCCCATTTAAAAATTTTTTATAACCCTTTAACGCCCACTTTTTAAAATCAATTCAAACACATTAGTATTTGTATTCATTTTAAAATTCTTTTTGTTGCAATATTTCAGGTTATCAAAGGGCGATAAAGAATTAAATTAAACACCGACTATACTAACCGGCATTCGTTGGAAGCTACTGACGCGCCTCCACAGCACCCAAAGCGTGTGATCATATCCGCTCATTTCCGTATTATAAGACCATTGCGACGCGGCACTTACGTTTTCACGCACTGTATCGCTGAGACCCTTTAGTTCCGGTTCGAATTCGTACGACGGCACCCAGACCTTTACGTCCCAATCAAGCCCGCTTGTGCAAATGTATGGTACTTGAGGATGTGGCTCCAAACAATTTACCTAATACACAAAAAATTAAAATTTATTTAAAAACAAATTTATAAAACTTACAACTCCGTTATTATCTGCACAAAAATATTGTACAATCGCCTCAGTATTTCGATCCCAAAAGAAAACATTACCGCAATCGGAACCGCTCACAATAAACTCAGAGTTTGGACCAAAGAAATTAACGCCTTTAATTGTGGCACCGTTTCGATGTCCCATGTATTGATGGAGATATTTCCCTTCGTTTCCATTGATATCGAAGAGGTAAATATTCTCGTCGTTATACGTCGCTAAGATTTCGGAACCGTTGTGATTGTAAACTGCACAAGTTACATGATATGGTAAACGATCGATTGTCTAAAAAAAAATAATTAATTAGAATAGCTTTCTTATAAAGTTTAATTGAAGCTAAATGCTATATACAGATGTCCCATGTAAACAGCAAAGTATATAAATGGCAATAACGAGCCAGCCCTTCCTTAGACAAAAATTCTATACCCATCTATTGAGATATAACAGAATTAATCAAAATCATCCAAAGAATGGCAAATTATGAACATAGTTTTTATTTTAGGAAAATGTCAACGAAATACTCTTCTTGCTCAAAAAGTATATCGTGGAAGATACTTCTGAGCAGGCGATGTTTCGATTTGAAGATACTAGAAGTGTCGACATACCTAAACGTCGAAAAAACTCGTATATGGTTCGAGAAGAGAATAACGAACTAAATGTTTTATTAAGTTTACAAGAGAATCCGCATGTGAGTTACACGACAGATCGCTACAGCAACAAATTTATATATCATTTGAATTTACACCAAGAACTTCATGGAGATGATTTTAGGAACAGAGCAAAACTTTTTAAATATTCGGTATGGAACATTGGATTGGTCGTGAAGGTCCAATACCATGGCCAGCAAGATCACCTAATCTAACTCCCTGCGACTTCTTCCTTTGGAAATACGTCAAAACCCAAGTGTACGCTAATAATCCAATGACGAAAGAAGATATGAAGAATAGAATAAGCGAAAGCTTTCGAAATATCTCTGCTGAAACACTTGATAATGTGCAAGCTGAATTCGTAAATCGGATTTATCTCCGCATAGAGCGGAAGATATTTGAACACTGATAAATAAAGTTTGGTTGAGAATTATTTATCATTTTCTTGTTTAAATCATTATTAATGCTTAATTACGTATTTTCATGGTCTTATTTCATGTCCTACTAATGAAAAAATGAACAAAATCTGCCATTCTTTGCATAATTTTGATTAATTCTACAAAATCTTAAAAACTCTAACTGATAGGTATAGGGACAACACTGAAGATTTGTAGTGAATTAAATTCTCTATCTGATAAGCTAGTCAAATATGGGATGTTCCATTTAAAATTTTCGTCTGGCTGACAGTGTCCATCCCCAGGTACAGGTGGATGTCATTGCTTCAAAAGTACCAGGGTGCATCAACGATGTTCCTTAACACATTATTCTGGAATTTCTGGATGATTTGGGTGTTGCTTTCGCTGGCACATCCCCATAGGTCCATATCAGTTTCAGGATCTGTTTATACATAAGTAATTTATTATATGTTGACAGAGTCGATTTCCTCCCCAACATCCGATAAATTTTTTTATATCTGATTCCAAGCTCTTCCCGTTTGTTTTTGATATCAGCTTTCCAGCGAAGTTTTGCATCCAAGGTTAATCTCAGATATTTAGCTGTGTTCGCATATGGTGTTTATCATCTACTCTGATTGGTATATATTGCTCCTTTTTGTTTGTAAAATTAACATGTACCGATTTATTCTTATTTAAGGTAATTCTCCATTTTTTGGTCCACTCATTAATTTTAATAAATTGATGTCTATAGTATATTTGCTGCTTTTTCATGATGAATGCCAATGGCCAGGATGACCGTGTCATCAGCAAAAGTAGCAATAGTATCGTTTTCTAATTTAGGGTTGTCACTAGTGTACAAGAGGTACAGGACTGGTCCAAGTACACTTCCTTGTGGCACGCCTGCATTCTTTTAAATCTGAACTAATTCAGATTGAACTATTTTCTTCTTACTTTATTCTAAAGACTCCTTCTGATATAAACGAATCTAACAGTTTTGCATACTGTTTGGGTAAGAATTTGTCAGTGTGTATTTGAGTCCTTCATGCCAAACTTTATCAAATGTCTCAGCCATATCCAAAAAGACAGAAGAACAGACCTTCCTTACAGTAAGACCCAGTTTATTCACCTTTGGTTACATTTAACTACTGGATATTTTCCATGATTGCTGTAATTTCACTTGCCATGATTGGCTATTTGAGCAGTAACTATGGTAAATATCCGATAGTTAAATTTAACCAAAGATGAATAAACTGGGCCTAAATCAGTACATAGACTACAGTGGAGTGTCCTCTCTGAATCAAAACTGATGTGTATCTTCTCAACTAATTTTAATATCACTGGTAATAGCGATATTAGTCTGTATGACGAAACTTCGTTTGGTGGTTTCCCCAGCTTAGGGATCATTATGACCTCAGCAACATTCCACAGGGTAAGCACATACTTGAGTCTGAAGGCTGCATTTTGCTTGGTAAATGTGTTAAAATTTCGCATGTAATTAGGTCAAAACTAGGATCTTTCTTCGAGTTGATATTTTCTTTGATTACAGTGGATATCTCCCTTGGAATAGTGAAGGTTATTTCCACAGTGTCCTGATTTTGTATTATCAGTTCTAACTGCTATTCTCCTGCGTTGGTTTTAAATGTGTTTGCTAGGTATTCTGCAAAGCTATTTCTTTTTTGCTCATTATTTTTAGCCCAGCTTCCATCTTTATTTCTAATTAGTGGATTTTGGGTGATTGGTCTTTAGTCTTTTGGTCGCTTTTCATAGTGAGTAATCCGTAAATTTGTCGTTCCTCAATTCATTTAGGTACCCGTTTAGAGCATTATTCTTGAAATTCTTGATAACCCTTTCCAGCTGTTGAGTGGCATTATTTAGTCCAGTTTGATCTGCAGGAGCTTAGATCTCTTATGTCCTTAGGATTAGGGGTACTGTCCCATGCTGCCTGTTGGATACAGTTAACCAGTAACTCGATTTCCTTATCAAGCTGTTCTTTGGATTTATTTGCCAGGTTAATCTTGTTTTCTAAGATGAGTTGGAAATCAATCAAACCAATCAGGTTGTCTATTAACAATAGAAGTAGGATGGGAGAATGGTCAGAATTCATATTCCATGCCTCTTCTACTAGCATGTAGTTCACTGATATATTCCTTGAGTTCTCTTCCCTTAGTTGTGATAAGCCTTGATCCCCAGTGGGTGTGCTTGGCACTGAGGTCTCCTCCTATGATGAACCTATAGCCTTGTAATTCTAGAAACTATATGTATTGTTCTTTTTGATAGTATGTCTGAGTGGGTAATAAATAGCTGTGACAATTAGCTCATAAGTTATGATGACATTAGCTTGTATGATCCTTGTCCTGTATTCCATCTCCTGGTAATGGTTAATGTTGTTTTTCATTATAACTGCACTGTTTCCTTTGGAATCTGTATCAGGATGTATAGTATGCCAATCCTTTAAATCTGGCGTATGTCTCATTTGTGAAATGTGTCGATTTTTTCTGTTTCTAATATGGCTTGCAGTTCTTGTTGATGCTGCAATAGCCCGTTTGCAGTCCATTCTAGGATTCTTAGGCTATTTACCACCATTGGAAAAAAAGTTCAAATAAAAATTTTTTTCTTATAACAAACTTTTGGCTAAACAGACACTCCCTTCCCTATATTAATCTATACCTTCCTTATATTAAAAAGTAGGCACATACTTGAGTCTGAAGGCTGCATTGATAAGATGTGTCAGCTATAGTCTGCTTAACTTGGTAAATATTTTAAAATTTCGCCTGTAATTAGGTCAAAACCAGGAGCTTTCTTCGTGTCGATATTTTCTTTGATTACAGTGAATATCTCCCTTGGAGTAGTGAAGGTTATTTCCATAGTATCCTGATTTTGTATTATCAGTTCTAAATGCTTTTCCCCTGCGTTGGTTCTAAATGTGTTTGCCAGGTGTTCTGCAAATCTATTTGCTCTTTGCTTATTATTTCTAGCCCAGCTTCCATCTTTTTTTCTAATTGGTGGATTTTGGGTGATTGGTCTCTTTAGTCTTTTGGTCACTTTCCATAGTGAGTAATCACTAGATTTGTCATTCAGAGCATTATTCTTTAAATTCTTGATAACCCTTTTTAGCTGTTGAGTGGCAATATTCAGTCTAGTTTTATCTTCTGGAGCTTGTTTGTCTGTTAACAATAGAAGTAGAATGGGAGAATGGTCAGAATTCAAATCCTATTCCTCTTCTGCTAGCATGTAGTTTACTGATATATTCCTTGTTATGAAAAAGTCAATCAGTGGCTTGCTTGTAGATAAAATTTCGCAATTCAATTGCTTGGTTGCGTTCAAGAGTTCTCTTCCCTTAGTTATGATAAGCCTTGATCCCCAGTGGGTGTGCTAGGCATTGAGGTCTCCTCCTATGAAGAACCTATAGCTTTGTAATTCTAGAAACTATATTGTTCTTTTTTGATAGTATGTCTGGGTGGGCAATAAATAGCTGTGACAATTAGCTCATAAGTTATGATGATATTAGCCTGCATCATCTTTGTGCTGTATTTCATCTCATGGTAATGGTTAATATTGTCTTTCATTATAACTGCACTGCTTCCTTTGGAGTCAGGATGTGTAGTATGATTCATTTTATATCCTTATAGCCGCTTTGCAGTCCATTCTAGGATTCTTAGGCTATTTACAGCAATTGGAAAATAAGTCAAATAAAAAAATTTTTTCTTATAACAAACTTTTGGCTATAACAGACACTTCCTTCCCTATATTAATCCATTATACCGAGGTTTTACTGTATTAATAAAAAACATAATGCTAATTAATTAGTTAACTTAAAAATAATTACCTCGAAAGGATTATAGCATTTTAACGGTTTAACAGATGGTCCACAATTCCTTTGATCAAAAGTCCTTACCATATGATCACGACCACCAACACAAAACTCATTTGGATTTAACGGATGCGAGTTTATACTGTACAAAGCAACTTCACGACTACAATCCTTTACATGTGTTACTCTTCAATTAAAAAAAAATCATCAAAATCAACCTCATTTAACCAATACTTATAAAACCCTTACCTATCCGGTTTAGAATTCCTAATATCATGTCTAAAAATAATCCCATCTTCACCTGCGCTAAGTACAATTTGTGGTTGATCCTTCAAAACAGCCAATTTATGACATGGGCCGCGATGCGATCCCAATTTTCGAGTACTCCTCAAACCTTCCTGTTTTGAAACTTGAGCCAACCTAACCTGACCGTCCCTTGAACACGTTGCGATGTGCAAGTCTCCATCCAAAGGTAAAAATTTGCTTTGGAAAACATTTCCGCGATGCTTTGTATCGAAAGATAACAATTTCTGTCCGCACTTCCAATTCCAAATGGCAACTTTTAAATCGTCCGAACCGCTCGCTAAAAGCGAACCGTCCGCGTTAAAATTCAAACTGTTTACGCATCCTTGATGGAATTCCAGTTTGTACATCAATTCTAACCGTTGGACGCAGTGTAAAGAGCCGTAACAACGCGAATAGAAAAGTTCAGGGCGTAATTTCGACGGACCACCAAGTTGGCGGTTTAATACTTCTTTTACAATGAACCAGTTGTGTTTAGGTTTTTCTTTTGAAAGAACGGCCGGGGAGTCAGGCCGATCTGCTGGCATATCACAATCTCTTCTAAACGGTGAGGTCTCATCTGAAGAATTTTCTGAAGGTAGGTACCAAGATGAGGTACTTGGACATTCTTTACGATTATTTTCATCTGGTGACTAAATAAAAATGATAGATATAAATCAAGATTATTCAAAAAGAATTTGAAAAAATAATTTGAGGTTAAAAATTTTAACTGTCAAATTGACATTTGACACTTAACCTATAAATTATGTCATTTTTCAAATTATTTTATTTTTATGTTTCAAACCTCTTCTGATGGATTATTAAGATTTTCTTCTGACACAACATTTTCATTTTCTTGTTTATCGATTGTATTATTTTGGTTACTAGAGCTGGTTGTAGGTGAATCGCGAACTTGGCATTCCTCAATGATACAATTTAGCTCAGTCTTGTGGTTATTATCTTCTTGTGGTTTCTGTGGTTGTTCAATTAAGACGTTTTGATCACCTCTATCTTGATTTGTAGTGTCAGTAGCGTTGTCATCTTCTGACATACTACAATCCTCCATGTTTTATAATCTAAAAATAAATTGTTTTCGTTTAATTTGAGGCGTAAATTTGATTTTACATTGCAATGACAGCCTTAACTACTATTATTTAAGTTTTTTTATTATTATTTATTAAAAAATTATTCCCATTTGCATTTTTTATACTTACAATAAAGACCGTTTGTAAACGTTTAGTTTTTATTGAATGTTGTCGCCGACAAAAACATCCATTTGGATCAGCGACAAAAACACTTTATCTCGTTGAAGGTGTTCCAAGCAAATCAAGAAATTTTCGCTACAACTGCCGCTATGCGATGTTATGATGGCGTAGAAATTCCCGTTTGAAGTTTATCTAATTTATTCGATACTTTCTTTTTTGTTGGTTAAATGTTATACGGACCATTTGGTGTCTTTCCGTTGATTGTTAAGAACGCGATTAACACTATCTTTACTCATTTTGAATAGAATGACAAGCGGATTTATTATTCGAAGGTGTTACGTTGAAAAGAATGTTGTCGCACGAACTGAACAACTTAACGTTTTCGTCGATTTTGACATGATAGGATTAATATACACAACACACTGTAGATTTTACAACACTGCGTTTCTATAACAAAATGAGTGTTGGCGTATTATTTTTAATCGCTTTAAAAATGCGTTTGAACACGTTTGAACGAGAAGGGGCAAAAATTAATGATGATCAGCTGATTGATACACTCACCTTCAATAATCCGATTTTAACCTAACTCTTAATTAATTGCGGTTTATATCATTCTTTTATTTGCTATATTTTAATGTTATTTTAATTTTTATGTGGAAAATTGCGTTAAGGTTATTATTTTTTGTTTTATTAACAGTTTTAGAAATTATTTTAGAAATTTTAATACGCCATCTTTTGACAAATAGTGTAATAATAAAAAGAAAACTGTAATTTCGATTCTAATTAATTAAAATTTATATAGACATTTTGCTGGAGATGGCAAAAAAGATTTAAAATCACAAATATCTTTATATAATGCAATGAATCTTATTTGAATACCATTAAGTGCACGTCATCAAACATCATATTAACTGATTTGTTGACTAAAATAGTTAATTTTGATACAAGCATTGATTATACTACTCCAGATTGCTAACCATATGTATAAAATCGGCAACTGTATATGTTGGGTTGCATCACGCACTGTTTATTCTCAAAAAGAAAATAAATGTAGATAGAGTCATAATAAGAAAAGAGACGATCTGAAAAAGTTTTCTTCATCTCTCTCATTATCCGAGGAATAAAGTGCTTTCACTTTGCTCAAGGGTTTAATGTTTAAGGGTCGATAGCTAACAATTAATACATAAAGTTCATTGGTGTTACTTAGATACAATCGTTACTATTTAAAATTCTCCTTAGAAAGAATCTTAAAAACGCACCAAAATGAAGTAGGACTAA